GGAGGCGCGCTTAGGTACTACTACTATTACTACTACTACTACTACTACTACTACTACTACTACATACCAGTACTACTAGTTCTACCGCTGCTGGCCACTGCCGCAAACAGATGGCAAGAATTGTGTTTTGCTGTGCGTGCTGTGAGGGCTCGCTCGTGAAGATCAAGGCCTGGGTGGAGCAGCGGCTGAACGAGCGGAAAGTCTCCTGGGAGATGCTTCCTGAGGAGCGAACTCGCCTGACCACTGAACCCATCCTAAAGTTTCCTAAAGCCTTAAAACCCGAAGAGCAGCCTGAGGAGGGTGGACCGAGGGAGATGCCCAGCTTCTCTCACGGCTACCAGGTCGTCGGATCTCTGACGCAGATGAAGCTGATCCCTATGAAGGCGGTGAGGGGTCTCAGGCAGCTTGGCGTTGCACCATCGTTGAAGGCATACCTTTACACATACAAAGTTCACAATAGATCTCAGTAACAGTATGAACTGCTATGTTATTGATGCAGTTGATGTTGATGTGGTTGTTGTTGAACGTAGTGATGTTGTTGGTGTGACGATAGCAAGATTGGCGGACATATGTCTCTTATGAAGGAAGTTGTGATATCGGTTTGTGGCGGGCTAGTTGCACGGCTTCTCCAGGAATGTCTTCGAATACACCACTCGGCTCGGCTTGCAGAGCCTGGAGACATTTCACTTCATGCGGGACTATGATCGCACACAGGCTCCTTGTCGGGGCAGAGGTCTGAAACCCTCCCTACATGCCTTTAAGTCTTTGAGTCCTAAACCGTAATACTAAACTTAATCCTGAGTACATTCGACAGGTGATCTACCCTGCAAGGCGGGACTGTGCTCGCGTTGATTTGTCGAATCCAGCAAAACGAAGCGCTGTCCTGGAAGGCATCTGCCGCGAAGCTCTACGGTGCCCGCGCGAGCCCCGTGGGATTGAGAAGCTTCTTTATGCTCAAGAACGCACGTGCAACTTAAATCCCGAATATTTCTCTTAAGCCTGACAGGAATGCCGAGTCTTCCCAAGGTCAGGGGGCCCGATGCTGGCGGAACTGAGAGCTTCTTCGCAATCAGCGGCCGGCAGGGTGATCGTCTGCTGCTTCGCCTGGAGGCAAAACTGCAGACTTGATCGTGATGGCTCGTGTTCTTGCCATTATCATTATCCCTGCCATCACCACCACCAGTGTTACTTGCAGGATCATGTGTCTTAGTAAATCGGTTATATGTCGGGTTGTGACGAAACTGACATCATGTCGGCCACGATCGGCTCGGCTTACAATGTTACAACATCTTACTGGGCCCCCTGATCCTCAGCATGACGAATGCTGTTGATGCTGCTGTTTGTAAATCTGGATGTTTTGCAAGGTTTCCGAGATTGAGGGAACCTTTGCCGCAAGAGAGTTGAGTGCCCATCAGGTATCGGACGCTCATGTGACGGTGAGCGCAAGCCAGTCGTCCGGCACACGCACGTGGCACAGTCAAGAGGCCTCCCCTTGTGCTCGGCACTGCTCAAGTTTCTTTCCAAGGGCCCTCTTCAGGCAGGACATGTAGTGATTGAAGTCTTCCTGCTGCTATGCTTCTCTTGGATATATTATTTCAGTCGTCGTTCGTACCACGAAGTACATGTCTGCGCAGTTTTCATTTCAAGACGCATAGTATTGATGCTAGGGATTTGGTAAACTTCCTCGTGTCGTGTCCCTCGGGTGCAGATGTGGGCTTCTGAGAAACCTAGCGGTGGTCAACATCCACGGGTACTGGCCTGTGTCACGCATCCATGCAACAGTAATGAAGAAAGCTGTCATGGTTGGTTTTTGACAAGATTGCAAGGCCAGGACTCTTCAGATTTCTTCTCGTGGTGCTTAGATGAGCCTTGCCAGGGGCGGATGCGAAAGCGCTTCTTCGTGGCAGGCCGAACCTGAGCTTCGCGTTTGTCGCACCCATATTTTAAGACCAGCTGACGGGTATTACTGTTGCTCCTTTTACGAGGATTGTCTGACGAGAAGTCGCATTAGCTACCTTGGGCCCTTTGGGCCTTGCTCTTGCTTTTATCCGAGGCTCTTCGTGGGATCGTTGCATCGCCATGGACCAGGATGCAGATCATCCAGACAGGCTTGGTATTGTTTCGAAAGGGCTTGTGCTCCTTTCATGTCTTTGTTGGCACACCCAGCAGCTCACCTGACGGTGCGCTGGTTAGCTGCTAGTTCTGCCAGTTGACGATAACAACAAGCATCCAGCCAACTTGATTGGCTGCCATACTGATTGTTGCGTGGAAGCCCGTTGCCACGAACATGAGGTATTTCGCACAGGTGATGGTCGTGCCTGTGTCGCAATTGGTGCCCGGCGTCGGCTTTGTCCAGCCTTCGGAAGTGCTAAGGTCTCTCGGACATGCGCGGAAGAATTCCAGATCCTGCTCGACGAGGCATGGGTGCGGACGATGCAGAATGGCTTGACTGAGTGAGAGCCGGAAAGAAGACTTTTGGAGCGACAGTGCCAGGATCCAAATCGAGCCATCTTTCCAGAAGCGCCTAGATCCACGAGCGGTGGCTCCATGGTCATGGGTCCGGAATCTGGCAAATCAGACCCTCAGCTGGATGGCGATCCACTATTGCACGTTCTGGCATTCGATGGTCCGTTCGTCCGTCCGTCCGTCTGTCTATCTGTCTATCTCTCTGTCGACCTACCCATTTGTCTGCCTTTGCACAAAATTCCAGGATGTGTTGCTGTAGTTCAATGTAACATCATATCAACTACGGTTGATGATATAAATCCTGCATTACCCATAATAAGGAGCCATAATTCCCATCGTTTAGGGTTCTTAAGGCACTGCAGGATTTATATCATCAACCATATCATGCGTCCTTGTCATACGTCCTGACGTCTTGAGTTGCATTTCCACATATTTGCGTTCCTGAATACTAAAATACATGCTGCATTGTTGGCCTCACGTGGTCATGTTTCATATTGCGTTGTATTCTCAGCTCTGTTGTACAGGGGAGCGAGTTTGAGCGACTGTATAATTCGTCTGTATAGTGGTTTCCAGGCTTATCGTGTTGCATAAAACGCAGGTTGAGTTCGAGAAAAGCGTATATGTTTGAGCACGATATCTCTGCGAGGACAAGAAGTTTCTCATCGCTGGCTACCCAGGCCCGCGACCCAGAAGGGTAGCGGCGTTGGATGCCTGTGTCCGGGGAGTTGACGTTCTCAGGCACCACCTTCGAGATATGCCTGGACCTCCAAAGTTCCCTGGCTTTTGGGGGATGCTTGCTCTGAATCCCGAGCGAAACAGCGTATCAAACGAGGTGAGAACAGGTGGAAGACCGTGACGTGGAGAAAGCTTGCCGAGACTTTCCTGCACATGCAGGTCTCCGATCCAGGTCCTTATGAAGAAGGATTTGTCAGTGGCAGTAATGGTGCCGCGAATGTTGTGGGATGTCAATAGGAATGAATGCACATTTCTTGCTCGATCCGAGTCCGATGTCAATCTCGAGCCAAGGAAGAGGCTCCGAAAGCAATTGCATTCTGACGCGGAGATCGCGGAGATCGCGATCGAGAGCCACTCTTCCGTGATGTCTGAGCCGTGCAAGTTTCGTTTCTCGGAGACTGATCTGAAAACATGATAGGCATAAGGAAGCTTCGACAAGTCAGTTGACACGGAGTAGCTTTAGAAAAGGAAACGCGATGGATCCATCCTTCATCACAATCAGAGCTGGCTTGCACATGTACACATCTGAACCCGAGTGTCCTGTCAACAGGATACAGCATTGAATTCGGAGACCCCTTCTAGCAAGGGCACGGCATGCGTTCCCCGAAGAAGGTCTTTGGATGATCATGGACCTTGCTTCCTCTACACGCTTATAAGAGCTGTAAACTGAGCTCGGCTCCATGAATTCGTGATAATGAACAGGGCAATCCTCGATTGACTAGGCCAAACATTACGGGCTGCTGAAGATGCGCCGGTGTCAAGGAATTCTCCAACCAACTGCGGTGATTGCCCCAGCTAGTATTTAAGCTTGTGATCTTCCGAAGCGCGTGTTCTGCAAGCAGAACTGCCGGAAAACATAAAGTCCGACACTGGCCTCAGGTTGCTTACTTTCAGCCAAGACTTGTGTTCATTCGCAACATGCCCATGCTGCTTGAACAAACTGCTGCAGGCTTGGTTTATTGGCAGCTGATCAATATCCAAAGAGTTCCGAGTGCATCCAAGCTTGGGTTTAGGGATGTTGTCACAAAGCTGTTGCGCGCTCTTGCAAGAAATTTGGACTTCCATGTAGACGGTGCTCTTGCAAATCAGTCTGGCAAGCCTTGGCACCGTGCTCGCATCCCTGGTCTGGGTCAGTGCCAACGCCGGCCGTTCCACATGGCGCTGTCGTCTGGACCCCTTGGTGGACTGGCAGGTGGTTTGAAGCCTTACACACACGCATGCTCCCTGAGAGACGTCGAATCGAATGTAGCTTTGCTGCAGTCGTGGGAACGGGACCCCTCTTTCGGAACACGGCGTAGTCACCACCCGAAAATGCTGCATGAAGTTGAAGGATAGCTCAACACTAGAAAGTTGCAACAACATCGACTCGATGTGGCAGCATCTGTGGCCACGGCATATAACTCTCATTGAAAAGAGTGTTCAGACAGGAACAGTTTGGGTGTTCACACTCAGCAGCGCGGGTCGTAGTCACTGTTCCGTCCGACATCAATGCAGCTCTTGCGCAAGTCTCGCCCACCACCGAGCACATGCTGTTGGCTAACCCAGCCCCCTTGTGCAACTCAGAGACGAAACCCTGATCACCTCATCCTCAGTCAGGTTGGAGTTACTGACATCTAAGATTTTGTTGTCATGCCTGCTGCAGAGTATCCCCAGATGCAATCACCAGACATGAAGGACTAGAGCACACACCCTTGAGACCCAAAACCGAAACCTGGACTTAAACTGTCTCCTTCAGCCCTGCTGCACCCTAAACCAGAAAGCTGTTGAACCTCACCCTGAACCGAATCCCGCAGCGCCTGGCACAACCGAATGCCCTCAGGTTGACCCAGCCCAGTTCGAGCATTTCGTGGAGCTCCTGCGACAGGGCTCCGCTGGGGCTCTGAGAGTCGCTGCTGCATCCAGGCGAGGCGTCCGCCAGGGGGTCCGCTAGAGTCCGCGAGGCTTCACAGACCAGGCGGAAGGCTTCCTGAGGCTCAAGTTTCAAGAAGGTTAAGAGACGGCTTGGGCTAGGAATAGGGTACATGGGGTGCAGGGTCCGAAGTTTCACCCCATTTGAGCTTCTAGGATGTTAGGGCTGGGGTCTGAAGCAGCTGCCGGATCACAAGAGGAACGCACCCCACCCCCAAAAGACTCCTTGTTTTCTGTTGCGTTCGGATGACAGGCTTCTGCAGCGCGAAGCTCACAAGACCTCCACCTTGGCCAAGGCGGAAACAGCCTACCTACCATTATTTTGGGCCTCTTGCTTCTCCTCCGCCTCATCGCCACCCCTGTCACCGGCATCGCTAGGACTAATGTCGATCAGCCAAGCAGCCAGCCAAGTACTTGTTCACGATCAAGACTGGACCGGTAGAGCGGCCATGCGTGGACGCTGCATTCGGGTGACCACGCACGTGCATGTGTGAGCATCGTTACGCGTCATTGTCCTCGATAGTTATCTTCCATCTATATGGAGGTTTTCCTTGTTTAAACTGCTGCCTAGCGCATGATCCTTGTTGTTGCAAGAGCTGGATGGAGAGAGTGCGTCCGACACCGTAGAGTCGTAGAGCGCATGCGGCACACGCGTCAGGCCGCGCTTGGCGCTGCGACGTCGATTCTGGACGATCCAGATGGTACACCCGGCATGCTCGCCAAGAGAGAGACGCAGCGCCCCTCGGAAGACTTCGCTGCAGCTTGGGCATGTAGCTCCGAGTAGAGCATCACCCAGGATATGCGATCGCATGGTGGAACCGCTATTTCAGAGATCTCACGAAGTACGAGCCCAAACGCATCCGAAGCGGAGCTGCAAGTATAGCCCTGTCGAATGCCTTCCGGAGGATTGATTCGCTTGATGCTTCCTGTGCTTCTCAGTATCCTAGGGGCTCGTCGCCGCATAGCAGATGCCACTGCAGCCAAAGAAGCAGCAGAAGCCAAGCTCCTCGAACTTGAGTCCATCGACAAAGATGAATTCAGGCTCGCCGAAAGCGCAGTGAGCTGGTCCCTGACGGGCGTAGGTTGTTCCATGAAGCTTTTGTGCTCAAGCTGAGAATGTCTACTAGCCTTTTTGCATTGTGCGGAGTGCCTTTATTTTTCAGGATTCCAAGAATCGTGCAGTGTCCTACACCGAAGTGCTCTCCACGGGCCAGTCTTGTCAGGAAGCGACTCACGGATCACCAGCAGGATGTGCAACAGAGGGAAACGGACCTGGAGACCAACACCTACCTGACACTGAAAATGAAGCTGGCTGCAGCGGAGGCATCGGGGAGCAGCATTTGGGTTTCGTTTCGAGTGTGAAGACCCGCATCAGTACCATCGCTCACTCTTGTCAAATTTCCGACGCTAGTGCTCCTGCTAGTACGAGTGCTACTGCTGTTGCGAGTTCTTGCGCAATACTCGGACTCAGTACAGTTTTCACTCACGATTTCTCACTGGTGGTAGTCTGTTGCTGCTGTGGCTGCATAAGGCTGCATAGTACCGCTGCCACAGTACTGCTGCGACGATGCTCTGCCATAGTACCGCCGCTACGGTACTACTGCTGCAACAGTACCACTATATTGCAAATCTACCATGCTAGTACAAGTACCTACTAGCAGTACTCGTACTCCCAGTACCAGTAGTGCCAGCGGTATTACTAGTGCTACTCTTAGTTCTGCTGCTAGAAGCACTACAACAGACTGGTGGTAGCGGTAGTAGTAGCAAAGGGCAAAGAACGAATAGTAGCAGCAGCAGGAGTCGTCATCGTCGTCGTCGTCGTCGTAGTAGTAGTAGTAGTAGGAGTAGTAGTAGTAGTAGTAGTAGTAGTAGTAGTAGTCGAGGTAGTAGGTCGTAGGTAGTAGGTGCTGGTACTAGGTAGTAGGTAGTAGGTAGTAGGTAGTAGGTAGTAGGTAGTAGGCAGTAGGTGGTAGGTGGTAGGTGGTGGTAGTAGTAGTAGTAGTAGTAGCAGTAGCAGTAGCAGTAGTAGTAGTAGTAGTAGTAGTAGTAGTAGTAGTAGTAGTAGTAGTGTAGTAAGCTTCTCGGCTCACAGCGAGTGGGCGATGCCGAAACTTTTTTTGGGGCACTCTTTTTCGAACTACGCCCTCTAGAAGGCCCTGAGCACTCCAAGGCAACACGACTGTGCGGAGGGGGCGGGCCGCACCTAACATGCCATGGATTACGATGTTCCTTCTGCCTCTTTTCCCGGCTTCATGGGCTTTACGCATGGCTGCAACAAGATTCACACATGGAATGTGCCCTCGCGACCCGCAGCCTGCTCTGAATGCCGCCGGAAGGCTGAGATCCAGCATGCCGATACAACCGTTAGACAACACTTCCTGCACATGGTATTATTATCTATGTACAGCACAGCTGGAGGATACAGCCAGCACCATCGCTACTTCGATGCATTTGAGCAACGATGGCGAGGCCAATCTCCGGAGCAGATTGTCTACGCTGCTAGGGCATCTTTGTATGCCCCCAACTTCCGAGAAGTCCGCCAGTGGTGCAGAGAAGCCTACCCGCCACTTGCACATGATCTTTGGATGCCCTGCACCATCGGCAAACTCTGTTGTTGTGCTACAGCATTGGACACGCTGGACTAGCTGGAATCTCAGAGACCTCCGTAAGCATAAGAAGCAGCGGGACCTGACACCATGTACGCCGTTATGCCCAGGTAAATGGTTCAAGAAATTGAAGCCGAAACGGCAGGCCCCGAAATCCTCGAGACGTAGACGCAGAAAACCCCATAAGCATAAACTGCAGGTTCGGCAGATGAGATGGCCTGACCTCTTCTGCCATCTCCTATGCCACCAAGCCTGGAGCTGGTGCGCCTTGCTGTGTAGACAGGGGGTACCTAGCAAGTTCCACTGGAATCCTCAGACTTCTCTCTGTGAATGCGCATCCGCATCCGCTTGTTGTTCGCATTCGCCTGTGCATTTGTGCAAATGTTTGCTGCAGCATTGGGCAAAGCGATGTGCCGCATCATGCAAGGGTTGTACCTTCTGGACACTGCCAACCCACTCCCCGCACTGCTCTGATATAGGGTTTAGGCCCCACTTTCGCCCAACTGTGCTTCCGTCAGGCACTCTTCGAGTAGCCTGCACCTCTTGCCTGCACGTTAGGGCTTTAAAATTAGGCCTCCCTGCCTGGTCCTGTCGTCAACTGTTCACACACTCGCCGTGCTCCGCTACCATGGATCCCTTGCACGATGATGTCTTGGATGAAGCTTTGGCTGACAATGCGGCAGCCGATACAACAGCAGCTGCAGCTGCAGCTGCACGTGCTTCGGGCGAGGAGGACGAAGATGCAGCAGTGGCAGAGCCAGGGGCAAGGGATGATCGGAGCTCTTCAGTGTATTCCACCCTGACTGCCGCGATTAGTGCTGCAGATCGCAGCCCGAGCCCGGACCGTCGTGGTCCAGGACCCTATGGACCACCTCCTGCGGTGCCGGTCAACCATCCCCTGGCTCGCGACTACATCCCAGGACTGCCACCTGTGAGGCCACATGCCCTGCCTGCTGGCTTTGTTGGCTTTGTCAACAGGCCCCGACCAGTCGCGCTGGGTTCTTCTTCAAGTGCCAGGGGACCACCTACCACACCGCATATGCCTGGTGAACCCGACGACCCTCACTGGCAGCGTGCTGTGGCTGTGAATGTGCTGAACACGTTGCAGCTCACCGGCCCGGCTTTTGTCCATGCTCCTACCTTGGCGACAGTGCACTCGTGGGCTACACTGCGCATCGTCTTGGAGGAAGCCACTGAGATGGCCGAGGTGTGCTGCCAGCGAGTGGATCCACAGGACCTCGACAATCCTCTTCACCATGGTGACCACCGCACCGCTGAGGACCGCACCAAAGGATCTCGTCTACGAGGCTGGCGACATCAGTTTCAACTTGAGTGCAGCCAGCAGGTGCCTACGTGATACCCAAAGGGCGGTGGAGCGAATGCGAGAACGTAACCGGCACCATCACTCAGGGGGAGAACCTTCCAGGCCTCGGGATGCAGAGGATGCTGACAGGCAGGGGTTACACCAAAACCGTACAAACTTGATTGCACATACTCCGGCCCTGATCCCCTCCCGGAACAGCCCAGCAGGTGAGAAGCCAGCCCTTCCTCCCCTGATGCCTGAAGAACAGCTAGGGATGCAACACGGGCATTCTGCTCTTCCAGTGTGGAAAGAATCAGAGCCATCCGTCAGCATTGTGCATCCTGCTTCCAGTGACTCTGCAACTTCTGCTGCCAGCCCAGCTCTCTCCGAGAAAGCCTGCACCCATTCGTGGCATCACGAATTGCACAGGTACAGTGATGCCTGTGAACCTCCCGGGAGGCATGGCTTGCACTTGCGCTTTGGCTCCTCACTTGTGCACAGCTTGCCTGCTTCGGGCTGTCCAGGCCAAGCCTGAGCGCTGGCTTCTACAATGCCTCGGTGTCTCCCTCAGGTTGCAGCACGGCACCTTCTCCTCGAACACAACTATCAGTTGCCACACGCTGCCCAGGTTCTCAGGCTGATACCAAGGCATCGCCACAGACCATCACTACGAGCCGCCCGGGTCCCAATTCCCGGGGCCTCACTGTTCTGCATTTGGCCTTTGCGCTTCTCTTCATGTTCATCCAACCGGCTAGTGCAGGCAGTGGGGCAGAAGCGAGGGTTGCGGTCCCAGCTGCCGGGACTGCTGGAGGTGCTAGCATCCACACACTGACTTCGCGCCGAAGCCAGGCAGCATCCCAATCACTCCAGGTCCGAATCCCAGCTTAGCTCTCTACACCGTTCACCACTCAGGTGAAAGTCGTTCCTTTGCTGCCACCCAAGGCATTCGTCAAGGCTGCTCAGCCTCACCACTCTTGTGGCTCATCTTCTCGCATGCCATCAGCTGCAGGCTGGAAAACTACGTCAGTTACGAGCGGCTCTGTGCCATGCTTACCATTTTCGCAGATGATTACCACGTAGCAGGCACTTTTACGACCCTCCATGAGCTTGAACAGCTGCTCAGCTGTATCACAGCCCTCTTTAAGGCGCTCAAAGCCTTCGGTATGGCTGTAAGTGATGCCAAATAACAGGCCATCTTAGCCCTCAGGGAAACCTTGAGTTCAACCATCCGTCGCAAGTACGTCTGCCAAGGCGCCGATGGGCCGATCCTTCGCATACCACTCTTGAGTGGCAGCCTCAAGATACCATTGGTGCAGCAATTCAAGTATTTAGGCACACAAGTGAATTACACTGCCTTCGAAAACGCCACCCTGGAATTCAGGCTGCACAAAGGCGATGCTGTTTACCGAAGACTCAGCACTGTCCTGAGAGGGAAACATTATTTGAGCAGTGTGCAGCGGCCACACTTGTGGCGAGCATGCATTTGGACGACCATCTCTTATGGATTGGTCACATGCGGCATTACCCCAGCGGGGCACAAGCTGTTGGAAACCAAAGTCGTGCGACAAATACGGGCTATCCTCAGGCTACCTGCACATCTGACGTTTACGACAAACACTGAAGTTATGCAGCAGGCTGGTCTGCAGTTACCTGGGCTCATGCTTGAAACACTCCTGGCCCGAGAAGGTGACAAGAAAAGTCAGAGTGCCGATGTGCACATCTGTCACCCATCCAGTGAATGGTGGCATAGTGTTCGCAAGAGCCTTCGTGCCCAGCCTGAGTCTTCCCAGTTGCACGTGGTACCCACACATACTAAACCCCAGCCCTGCCCTGAGTGTGGTGTCTTCTACAGTAGTAGAGCTACGCTTCTCACCCACATTGCCAAGTGTCATCCGGACACTGTTGAGAAGGCTCCCCCAGAACCCTACCATCGTTCTTTGGTTTCCGTCGGAGGACTGCCGCAATGTTCGCACTGCAAAAAGAAGTTTCCTACATGGCAGCTGCTGCGTCGGCATGTTGAGGGTAACTACTGTCATGTTCGGCACTCCTTTTTGCCGGTACCGCCAGCAGCACCTGAGCAGCCAGAGCAGCCAGTCAATGCTTTGCCACCGGTGTTTGCAGATACCTCCATACAGACCCTTGTTGCCAAGCATGCCGATAATGCCATTTTTCACATCCCCAACAGGCATTTATATCGACAATACTGCCTGGTTTGCGGACAGTGGGTTGCCTCTTCAAAAGTCATGAAACTTCACTACCAGCATAGCCGCCCTGAGTTATACCAGCAACACCACTCTAAAACCCAGGCTCTTTGTGCCAAGTACACGGGCTGTGGTACTCCGTGCTTGTACTGTGACGCTTCCGTGGCTATACCTAGGCTACATAAACCTGCTTGCACCACCCTGTGGCAGTTCTGCATCAACCTCTCCGCTACCAATGGCGGTGGTGGATCAGGAGATCAGGGAGGTCTTCGGGAATCTGGCTCAGAACAGTCTCCACAGCTTCGGCGAAGCCCTTTTCGGTGCAGAGAATCCAGTCCCAGGGACGGAACCGCCACCCAAGGCGCCGAAGCTCGAGCCTGCATCCGGCAAGCGCCAAAGACCCTCAGACAGTGCAGGCTCTCATGGCTCCCAAGGCCAGGGAAGCCAAAAAGGTCGGGGCAAGGGCAACAAGCAGCAGCCTCAGCTCCATGCCCTGGTTCATGCGATGGGCCGTTTAATCATACGGCAGGAGACTCAACTGCAGATTCTAAAGCAGAACTCAGCTTGGACACTCTACTTGAAGCCGGGCCCCTCGGGACCGGTCAGTCTTCTGCACCAGACTGCGGAGAAGTATCGGGAGGAAGCCAAGACCAAGTTCATGGAGGTACCGGTGAGAGCGGTTCTACTTCACACGTTATTCCAGGCCCTGATGGGCTCTCTGCAAGGAATCAGCAGCAGCACGGAGAAACAGCAAATCCTCAAGGACAAGGGACGGCTCAACTCCGAGGGCAACTGGAATTACCAGAAGTGGGATGGGGAACAGCAGGCACTGGTGATGGACGAAGCGAGGCAACCTGTGGGCCACCAGGATCTAATCGGCAAGGTCGGCCAGCTCTCCGAGGTCGTTCTGGGCAAGGATGTCATTCACAGGTTCAATGCGACACACACTCTGTCGCCAGCCAAGACGGGCACCAGCACCTTTCTTCTCGAAGTGGGGTTGAGGGCATCTGGCGTGGAGACTGCATGGGCTATTCTGGAGATGATCTCAGGCCTTTCGGCACTCCAGGTGATCGGACTACAAGTCCGCCGGGAGGGCCTCCGACGTGGGGGCCTTGCCAACGAAGTCCAGAGGCTCATGACTGCCTCCACAGGCTGGTTCTGCACAATCCTTCGAATCAGTGTTACCTGAATGCCTTTGCCTACATGTATTTATGGTGCCATTGTCGATTGGAGGCTCCTGAATATCAGCTCTTTGGCACCAAGATTCAGGCCTGGCGCGACGTTCTTTACACCACCCAGAGGCCACTCACCATCAGCAGGTTGCCGTCTTGGCGAAGCCTGTTGGGAGGATGGAGGCAACCTGCCTCCCAACACGATGTCGCAGATTTCATGATGCATGTTGTCCGTATCCTGGATCCGCCACAACTGCAGGCCACTTGGGAGGCACGATGGGAAACTGAGCAGGGTATTGTCTGTCAGGACAGAGGCCAGCTCTCCTGCCCTATTGTTCTGCCAATTAGTGCTACACATCAAACATTGCAGGACTGCATCAATGATTGGAGTCGTCAAGCCAGGCTACATGCCCTTGCATCAGCAGCCAATGTCTTTTTCATCCAATTGGCGAGGTATCGCTGCAAGGGGACCTTGACGTTCAAAAATCGTCAAGCTGTGGCCTCCCGACCACGGTTACAAGTCCGATCTTCGGCAGAGACCTTCGTACCTTTAAAGCTGTGTATTCCATTGTGGCGATTATCATACATCATGGAGCTCATACGGGTACTGGACATTACACCACCATTCTGTATGATGGCAGGGGAAAGTTCTGGGGAACAGATGACGGTCGTCAGGCACAACTCAGCGAGGGTTTGCCTGACCAAGCTTGCACTGATGGGTATCTTTTTGCCTTGATGCGCAGGCACTGACTGCCTTCCTCTGCTATGGTGGGGCGACATCTCAAGATGTCATGCTGGCTCATGCGAGTCGGCTACTTTTGCTGGGTAGGACAAGGCCTGCTGGCATTAGTGCCGGGGCACTCAGGCTCCCGAAATCGGGAGTGCGCCACTCGGGGCCAGCAAAAACTGCTGCTCCTTTTGGGACGCTTAGCGAAGCTCTTTTCGCTGCGAGGGAAGAAGAAGCAGTAGTAGTGTAGTGGTAGTAGTGGTAGTGGTATTGGTATTGGTATTGATGTTGGTATTGGGTATTGGTATTGGTATGGATTGGTAAGGTACTGGGACTAGTACCAGTCCGCGTACTAGTGCTAGTAAAAGACGTCGTAGTAGTAGTAGTAGTAGTAGCAGCAGTAGCTTTCGACTACGGATGTGCCACCCCGGAGCAGCCCAACCGGACTCGCTTTCACAACAGGTGCTCAGGACAACAGGAGGGTGAACAGGTGGCAACCCCATCGTACGGGTTCCGCAACAAGTTTGCCTGCGCCTTTAACGTTGACGACACCTGCGAAAGCTGCTTGCCATCGCATAACATGTGCTTTGCCCACGTGACAGTGTCGCACCGACAGCAACATGTGTCCAAACGCACGGCCCCTTGTGGTCGCCGCGACTTAGTTTTAGAATTTGTGCAATAACTACGACAACAACAACTACTCCCCCTACTACTGAGGCTACTGCTAATGCTACTGCTACCGCTGCTGCTGCTGCTGCTGCTGCTGCTGCTCCGGCCTCTACTGCTAATGCGACGACTGCTACTACATCAAAGACTGCTGCCTCACGTTGCTGCCTCGCGTTGCCGCCGTGGTCGTCGTCGTCGTCGTTGATGTCTAGCAGCATGATGGTAACGTATGATGTACGTTTGATCATCCTTCTCATCCTTCTTTCCTTTATCATCACAATCGTCCTGCCATTGTCGCCAGTTTCATTCTCACCGTCATCATCAGTGGTGCCGTAGTATTTCCAGTCCTTACGATTACCGCCATCATCGCCATTATCGGCAGCCAGCAGCACAATTGTGTTAGGAACCACCGAAGCAAAATCATGACCACTGTCCCGGCAGGCAGCGAACGATCAGAAGTGGGCCGCGAAATATCGAGAGATGCTCGATGATTATTGGCACAAGCGCGAACTCGAACAGGTCAGCATTGCAGCGGCCTCTCCGCATTTCAGCTTTGACGTCGAAAAATCGGGATCCCTAACCACAAACGGCAAGCCCTAAGCCGTTCTGAGGAAGCAAAAAAGGACCTGCAGGAGCAGCAGCGCTTCCTCACGCGCCTGCCACAGGTCTCGCCCTCAGAACTCTGAGTGCTGGCTTTGCCCGGGCTATTGTCGGCAGAGGTGTTCTTATGATCATGGGCATGACCGTTGTTGGACACCATATGCATAAGCTTTCAAAAACACGTACACATATACATATACATATGCATGTGCATATACAACGTGCGTATGGAGGACATAAGTGCGTAATTGTCTGCATACATGCATTTAAGTATCTGTGAATGCATACATACATACATGCACACATGCATACTCGCATGCACGCATGCAAACAGGCATAAATGCACGTAGCAAGTATCAAGCACAGCAAAACCGTGTACATTCTGACACTTTGTTGTCTTCGAGGCCAATGTACTTTCTACGCGTGCAGTTTTGGCAGCACCAAGAGTTCCAGTAACTGTGTTTGTAGTTTGTAGTCAAAAATATCACAACGATCCAAGTCAAGACTTCGTGTATGTCGACAAACATGGGCGTAGAGTACTGTATATCCGACAGATACACACATCTATACATATATACATATACACGCAGGCACATATACATATTCAGATACATGCATATACATATGTGCATTCATACACATATATGCCGACATTTACATATACGTAGAGACATACATACTCGCATATATGAGTATGTGTGTAAAAAATATGTGTACATGTACATGCATATGTGTATGTATATGTGTATGTGTATGTACATGTGTATGTACACGTATTTGTACATGTATGCACATACCCATAGTTTTACGGACTTTGCATTCCAATCTGGTTTCATCGGCTGAGCATCCATGAGCTTCCCAGCATGTCTGATTCGGGTGCCCTCAGTTTTCGTGAAGCCGCTCTTCCATCTGTGCCTGGAAGCTCTGCGAGGAATTGAAAACCCAAGAGAGGCGGGCAAAGAATGCCAGCAGACGACTTGAAAATGCAGATCCTCTGGCTGTGGTTACGTTCAGGAATCATTTTGTGGTGTTTAGTGATGCCTTGGCATGATAGAAAACATGATATCATTAGGGATGTCATATACGATGGTAGGTTGTTAGGCTTGACTCACTCTTGCTTTCCATACGAGCTGTTGCATCTTTTGAGCGTTTCTTGTGCTTGCATGCGCTAGTCAAAGAACGAGTTTTATCGGTTATTCATTCCCAGCCTCCTGAAACAGCTTCTCAACGAGTGATGTAAGGAGATGTCTAGAAATGTTGACGCTCAATCGGTGCTGATGGGTGCTAGTCGGGAGCGGAGAATCTGACCTTCTGGAGTTTCGTAGTGGTAGTAGGTGCAGGCGGAGTGGACCGGAAGGAGGATGAGGAGGAGGATACAGCAGAATCGCAGCATTCAGTTTGACAACGACGCAAATAAGACAGGCTCCAACAAAGAGATAAGCAAGACTAGCAGCAACTAACAGGACGGATTCGCATGAGTAGTCCTCGTGCTGCAACACAGGCAGTAATCATATTGCGACATCCGAGGAAAAATCCCTGGGCTACATCAGAGGGCATTTGGACTCGTGACTTCAACATGAATCCGCCACGTGCGGCTATTGGAGTGTCATCCTTGTTTGGTTCTTGGATGCAAAGGTAGGCTGCACTGAGGAAGAGATGACATCTGAAGTTCCGTTGAAGCCCACCAATCCGTCCGAGAAGCTGCCGAAGGCTCCTCGATTGCACAACATCACATCACATCATTTTCAAGCCTTAGTCCTGAGTAAAAGCCACCCCTTGCCTCGCGTTTGAAGCAAGGCCCGCTGCCACAGGATTGGGAAAACCCCAGCTGAAGCTGGCATTCCGGAGGGGCTTCTCTTGCCCTGCCCTGAGTCTTGAGGAGACGAGCAATGATCGTATAGCTGCTGGTGGTGATGGTGGTGGTACACCTTGCACCAATGATAGTCAAGATGACCATGATAGCAACTTTAACTTGGAAGTAGTGATCACGATCATGGATTCCGTGAAAAAGCATTCGTGGGGATTCGGTGTTACCGACTACAAGGGCCCCGCAGAAAAACACAGAGGGCATTCTGGTTTTGGCACCGGCGATGATCATTCCGAGGCTGGTAGGCATGAGTCGAACCGACAATAATATTGATGATGTTGGTGACAGTCAGATGAGTACGCACAAGCGGCATCTACCGCCAGGATGATTACCATGATCAAGACGACGTTCCGTGCAGTGAAATATACTGTTTCTACAACCGGGACTCACGCAATTCACACTCCCAGGACGGATGTGGTTGCAAACATGGTGTGGTTCTCATTAGATCTCCTGGTAGTGACTGTCATTAGGACCAAAACAAGCACAACTAATGTGACTATCACGGAAATGCAGTTCATAGTGGTGCTGCATCCTACTACTTGCACTGTCAGCGCTTGCAGAAATAGGGACAGTAGCAGCGGGCATGATAAGGCTGGCCATGCCTTCGACACACATGGTGCTGTCACCGACGACAGTAGGAAAGCTGCCTCCAGACCGTGCTCGTCATGATAGTCATGGTGATATCCATGAGAGATTTCAACGAAGTCATGTATGACAGTGCTGTGGGCAGTGTTTGTTTGTACGGCAAGGCGACAACAACTGAGAAAGAGAATCAGTACGGCCAGTAGCAGCAACCTGATGACAGCAGGTGCACAGCCTATCGGCTAAGCTCTTAAAAAAACAAGAATAGCATCAACGATAGCACAGGCACAACACGCGGCATAAGGACAGATCATTCCGTACACGGTACCTCAGAACGAGCAACTATGCATGCACACCTATTTGGACGGTCCATCGCTAGGATCCGATTTATGCCCGAGGTATGTGTGGGGTCGAGGTCGACCACATGCCCCTCGGCAACGCCGTGGGGATTTCCTGTGCTCGGCTGAATGCAGCTGGCCGTGTGACGGCGTCGGTGTGAAATGAGGCCTGCAGAAAGAACATGTCACAGCACCCTGGGTTCCAGCAGCGGTTGCCTGAAGAAGGCTGCTTCTTCTTGAACTCCCAGCATCTCCCCAACTGCAGCCGTTATGCCAATGCAGCAATGCCGCATGGAAGATGGAACTGTGGCGGTATTCATGAGACTCCCCACTCTGCAAGTCACTGCCATCCATGAAGTGATTCTCCAATGACGATAACTTGGGAGCACCTAAACTAATTTGATCTTCGCGCCTATTGTACAGCTTATGGTCGCGGCCGAGTGCAGCCTTTTGGCACGCTTCCTCTTTGTGACAGGCTGGTGTCTGCAAGTCGGGTAAAGGCTGAAATTCTGTATGGCTAACGATGAAAAGCGCTGCGCATGGGGCAGCCGCATGTGCAAGCCGATGATGAGTTCGTCAGCCATTCGACCCTGTTTCAAGTCCCCGCCCTCGGTTCCAAATTACAGATTCAGAAACGGAGGGATGGAGCTCGACAGAGAGCGAGAGAGAGAGAGAGAGATTGAGAGAGAGAGAGANNAGAGAGAGAGAGGGAGGGAGAGAGCGTGAGAGCGAAGCGGAGGTACCTGCAAGCGGGGTTTACAGTAACCTCCCTCGGCGCTTCGGCCCTAGCCTAGGCCCGTAGCAAAACTTCCGCCTGTGTCATCTGCGTCAGTCGCGGCGCCTCTGGCCCTTCTCGGATCGCTTCTGTTCCAGGCTCGGCCCGGCGCTGTTCTGTTTGTACCGGAACGGCGATCGCAGCTCAGGTTTGCTGGTATGCCGATGCTGTGCACTTGTACTTACGTGCTTTGTGTACTGTGGGTACTTGACATTGACACGCTCACTGCTCCCCACACCCTGAGTAGAGAGGGATTGAAAGTTGGCCTGCCCGTTTAACTGGGCAGGTGTCCGTGGATCTCGAAATCCAGAGCCGACGCCCTGGCCTGTCCCCGCTCATAGGCAGGCTTGGCTCGGATTTGGGGTCTGGGTTCAGAGAGACTAGCAGTGGTCGTCGCCATATGTCGCCATCATCACTATCATCGGCATCACAGTCATGATCGTAATAGTCATCATGTGTCATCATATTTCTCATACGTCATATGTACAGTACATATTAAAGGCAGCAGAACCATTATCAACATCAGAGGTATCATCATCCCCACATCAACATCACAGCCAGAGGCATCATAACCAATAGAAATACCATTATTGTCTCGCAAAATCAGTGTCAGTTCTATTGCCACCATCCTTTTCATCGCCATCCGTCGCTGCTGTTATCGTTATCGGCATCGTCAGATAAATCCTGTCCTTGTTCTTCTCTTCCGCCTCCGCCTCTCCCTCTGTCTCCTTCTCGTCCTCCGTCCTCCGCGTCATGATCATGCACACCAGCCTCATCTTTCACCAACTGATGATGCGCTAGGCCAAGCAGCAGTTCAATTGTGTGGCCAGACTCCGTGCCGAGGTTTGACGAACCTGAAATATGCCGTCGAGGAAGAAGCGGCAGCTGTAGCAACCGAGGCGGAGGCCGCCCAAAAAACTCGTACCCGCGTTTCACGGAGAGAAGGTACTTGCTTCTGACTCTGTGTAAGATCTGATCTTGAAGAGTTTCTTTCCTGCCCACAGGGGCATGAAGTGGTGTTACATAAAATCACCACCCGTTTGGACAAAAAAAAGAATCCGACGCCCAGCTGCGAACGAGAACCCTGGGGTCTCAAGCCCTGAACATCCCTGAACTTCACCACCCTCCTGCAGGCTGCGCGCGATGTCGGACAGGCGGCCTTGGACCAGACTGAGGCCTTGGGGCTGAGGCTAAGGCTAAGATAAGTAGGGAAGCAGCCGAGAATCCATCTGAACCTCGCATCGGAGCACCCCCGAAGCCCCAAATACTCTCTTGGCGCCTGGAGGCCGAACTGCTTCAGGAGAAGGCTGAAGCCCTGGATGCCAGCGTTGCAGAAGCACAGGTGCGGTTCGCTTCACTTCGGCTTCGAGTCAGGAAAGAGGCTCAACAGTTTAGGGCCTTTATGACCCAAGGTCTTTAAGGTTGAGTGAAAGAGGTCAATTTGTGAAATGGCAGGATGATACAAGTGGCGACCTGGCGAAGCCACGATTTTTTTGCAGCGTGAATCTTGTTAAACCTAAATATCCAACCCTGGACATTTTGTATTTCCTCCTGTCTCTCGCTCTCTATCTCGATCTCTGTTTCCGTCTGTCTCTCTCTCTCTCTCTCTGACCGTGGACCTTTCGGAGGCCGCACCTTCAACATTCCTGTCAAGATGAAGTGGCCTTTAGGGGTTTGGGTTTGCGGGGTGCCGTTCAGAGCAACTCACGTCCCGAATCATCGTACAGTGTACAGCTGAGGCTTGGCGCCGAAACTCCTTTCCCTCGAAGCCGAACCCAGAGCTCTCAGCGTCTAAGCATAGCCACCCTATCTCCCAGAGGTCTGAAGCCCCAAACGTGCACCCGGCAGAAGCGCTTGGCAGCGCAGGCCACAGAGCTGGGCGGAGCTGAAGCTGTCGCTGGCGAACAGGCGGCGGAGGTCCGTTGTAAAGTGGCCCTGTGGTAGGACAAAGGAAAAAATGGAACCATAGTAGGAAGGATATGGAAGGATCATGTTAGGACGTAGGATTTGGTGTGAAGGCTTTACAACTTATGTAGACTGTATGGCCTACATGATGAAGGGCTTGGGGTCTACGTGACGGGTTTGCGGCTGAGCAGCTGGGGTGTGTCGTCTGATCTTCTTGCTAGAAGCCCCGGTTACACGTTTGGGTAGCAACTCACATGTGCCTCCGTCTGATGAAAGTCGATTTGGTCTCAGGTTCACAGTGTTCGTGTCGCGCTTTGCTTCCATTGTTTTTCTAATCATTCTAATCCTGTATTGCAACTGCAGGAGCTGGGCAGTACGCGTTCACACGTCCCTAAATTCACCGGTAATAAACCGAAGTAGAAGCGTGGAAGCGCACACAATGTTTTGAATCTGTGCAACTGTGTGCAAAACAGCGCCATCCTATATGCTTTCTAGAGGAGCAGGCTAAATCCTTGAATTTGAACGTTGCATTCCAAATCCCAACAGCTCCCCTTGCACGCCAGGATGTTGGTGGCTCGGAAATTGCCGAGCAGGTCGAGGAGGTGGCCTCGAGCGTTGTGAAAGGCTTAGGCGGGCAGCTGAGCACGCGAAGTCCAGGGTTCAAGCCAGAACTTACCGTGTGAGGCGCTTCTTTTTAGGGGTCAAATTCGGTTCGAATCACAATGCCAGGGTTTCTGGTTCCCAGAACTTTTGGGCTTAAGACTCAGACCTGGGTTTCGGGGCCTCAGGCTGATACGGACGCTTCTTCCGCTGCCTGCAGAGTTTGTTCCCTTAAGCTGTCGCAATCATTATCATCGCAGTCGTCGTCGTCGCTGTTGTTGTGCACAGGGCATGCTTCCCAGAGTCGCGAGGTGAGCTACCTGCCAACGGCATGGCTTCGGTGGGAGCTTCAGAAGCAGTTGCAGATGCCGAGCCCTCAGACGGCTGTCTCATTTCTTATGCCAGGGCCATGCTCGATTGCTGTCACTATTTCTTCCTTCCGGCTTCTATCAGCCCTACGGCAGCGACTGTTGTTAATAGTGCTTTATCATGACTACGCACAATGCTACTAAGCCACTGAGAGAAACGTCCTATACTGCTGCAATCATTGCAGCCCGACATCCCCCGGAACAAAAGCGCAAGTCGATCTTGTAATTCCTGCTACCGCCCCAATGAAAGACATGTCGGCCCCAGTGTGATTTCTATCTCGAATAATGTTTTGCAATGCCCGGCAACCGGCGCAGCCGATTTGCAGGGACCTTGTGGGTAATCTATTTGAATTTCCAGAGTCTCGCCGGGCGGGGCCGGAGGCCTCGGGAGAGAAAGCGCGACACTACGCTGAAGCAAAGGAATCTAATCCAAGCCAGGTCAAAAACCAGGAGCGAGCCCTAAGAGCTGAGTCGGCTTCAGGCAGCGGCAGAGGCTGTGGCTGGAGCCGCTGTGTCTTCCGTGGGAGTGGTCGGTGCCCGAGCTTCATTGCACTGCATCGTGGTTTAGCGATGCATCTCTGCGATCACTGGTACTGAAGCTGCGAGCTGACTCTAATCAAGAGTCGGAGTGGCCCTCGTAGTGGTCTACTGACAGAAACGGTCATACGAACAGAAATACCATTGGTTTCTGCTTTCACTATCAATATCATCAGTATTGGAAGTGTAAGTTGGTTGTAGTGGTGGTAGCGGTAGCAGTAACGGTAGTGGTAGTGATTGTCGTCGTTTACTAAGTAGGACTGTCGTCGTCTTAGGGGAAGTGGTCGTGGTCTTCTGCTTAGCACGAAAAGTTGTCGTCCCCCTGCTCCTCCTCTCCTCTTCCTCTTCCTCCTCCTCTTCCTCCTCCTTTTCCTTTGTCACCGGAACAGCCTGGGTCACAAAGACTCGCAAAGATTGCGTTTCAAAACTCCACAAAGGTTACACCCCTCTTCTTCAAGAATCCTTTCAAGCACTCTTGACGCTTGACGCAGGATGCGGCACTGGCTGGCGCCGCGGGTGCCATTGCAGAGCAGGGCCCAAAGGTGGTCGTGGCTGCTCAGGATGCTATCGTCGAATTTGGCGTTTCCAATTCAGGGCTTATTTTGTTCCAGATTCGCAGTTCAGGCTTTAGAGTCTGAGTTGCGGCTGTCGGTCTCTTCGGACAGATATGATGAACATGAGCACCGCTGCCACTACGCATGTTGAAAGGATTGTTAGCGTGTCTGCGATCAAAGTCTTGCCATTGTAATTTCCCAAAGCCCGAACCGACTATGTCCGAAGCTCCACCCTCAGAACAAATCATCTCCCCAACCAGAAATCCCAACTCCTACCCTTCATTTCTTACCAGACCTCAAGTCATTAATGTCCGAGACCCTGTATAGATTCTGAACTTCCCAAACTCTGACACCTCAATGCCGCGACCGCGGATTTCGTATCCAAGCTCCAGGAAGAGTGGGCCTTGGGCTCCGAAGAGATCCAGGCGGCAAACGACGAGCGTTACAGCCTCGGCCAGTTCCCGAAAGTCTCTGAGCCTTGGACCTTGAAACCTAAAGCCTAACTGCCCTAACTTGAACCCTGGCTGAGTGCGACTGCTTGGGAATTCGCTGTTGTCGCAAGTGGCAGCTACAGGTGACTACGCCCTGTTGGATCTTGGGTTGCTGCTCAGGTAAAGCGAAAGCTTGTTCTGGGTCAGAAAAAGCTCAATCCAGAAACGCACCAAGCAGCAAGACCGCAAACTCACAAGGGTCCATCCGAATCAACCAGCGCATGATGCATGTTTGGCGTTTCCGGCCTTTGCTTGTCATTGTCGTGGGATTTTGATTTCACGGCGAAGGTACAGGAGCTCAGGCTCTGGGCGGGATGAAGGCAGAACAGGTAGAGAAGAGATTTAGCTCCAAGGTGGTTTCAAAATGCTTGCTTGTGGTACACTTTGGAGACATTGTACAACTTCAGCCCTCGACCCTGTGGGCCAGACCTACCAAAACTCGTTGTACCCATGAACTTCACAGTACTGGTAGCAGCCGGAGTCAGGTCTGGCAGTCGAGAAGGAAGTGCAAGCAACCGCTCTGGAGGCGGGCCTTCATTGGATCAGCAACTCTTCTGGCGTTTCGAGCAGTAGAATTTGCAATGATGACCATGCTATTGGCGAATATTGGCGATGATCGTGATTGTGGTTGTGCTGGCAATGGTTGACCGAAGCTGGCTTGACCATGTGTGAGATGAACCGATACGACGATGATGTTGTGCATTATGTTGTTGATGGTGATGACGATCAAGATGAAGATCAGCATGAGGATGATATCGGTGACGAAAGTTTCACTGCCACATTGGCGGGGTCCTCATGCAGAACACTTGCGGACCATGACCGTGAATGGTCTTCGCTTTCGGGATACTGTCGGGCGGTCCCGCCGCCTCGGCTGCCCTGGAAACAACATCGACAAACGAGGTGGCGTAGCAGCCAATTCGTTGTATTTCTTCGTTCTAGTATCACGTTGCTATACTATGCTGGTGGGAGCCGCCTTAAGCCCTGCACGTCCATGACAAACAGCAGTGACGATGATGATGAAGATTAATGTGCTGCTGGTGGTGATCACGGTGTTAATGTTGTTGATGATGATGGTGATGACGACGACCAAGACGAGCGAGACGACCCAGGCGACGGCAGCGATGGTTATGCTGACTGTGAGCATCACGATGATGACGGTGGATGATGGTGCTGATGCTGGTGATGGCGACAGTCGTCCTGGTGGTGGCGAGAAGGAAGACATCAGAGTTGCATAAATGGTCTTGCTCTGCCTGTGATCTCGGTCATGAGTAGTGTTTGGTGGATATGTGCACATTGCTCGCATTGCTCCGCCTCCTCCTCCTCCTCCTCTTCGACCTGGTCGTGGTCGTCGTCGCAGTACAGTAGTTGGCAGTGACGGCAGTACTGCTTTTCAGACTTCTTGGTTCTGGTTCTTTTTCTGCAGCTCCTGTGACTCTGGGTTTACTGTATTACTGCGAACGGTCTGTGTTTCAGCCTGAGTCTATACAGCAGAAAGCAATCATCTCTGCGTGCTTCCGTGACAGGGCGATGTTCCAGTTCTCGAAGCTGGATCATACAGCTCCCATGACGCTGCCGTTGCGAGCGCGCTCACAGCGGTCGGGCGACATAGCATGTTGAATGCCGACTGTTGGGGTAAGTGGAAAGCACCAGTGTGCCGCAGAAAGGCCGGATACCTGGCGGCTGCGTCTGCAGCACAGATGGTGGTGCTCATGGTTCAGGCTTGCAGCGTCCCGTCACAATGCTTATCCTTCGACTGCCCCGGGCTTCTCACTGCCAGGGTCCTCTGGCACTGGTAGTTCTCACTCAGTGGCTCCTCTCAGCTGGTGCCCAGAACTCGGTTTCCAACACTGCCTCTGAGCTGCCGCGAGTGCAAGCAGCGCAAGGGACCTTGTTGTTGAGGCAAGCACCATGCACCAGGTTGCTAAGGTGAGAACTCAGGACGCGGGCTCGGTAGCAGTTTTACAAGATCTTGCAGAAGACAGCTGAAGGATCCGGGAAAGTCTGCAGGACTACGATTCTTTGTGGCTTACCGGCCTGGTTGCCCAGGTGGCTCTGGCTGCGACCTCAGCCACATGCATACCCACGTTACTGTGAGCCTCACTGCCTGATGTTTTTGTGGAAGTTCCGAGCTGTCATCAGTATGGGGCCGTGGCGAGCATGATGGTGAACCCGTGGGCGGACATCGTAGTCATGGCATCAAGGTCGGATTTAGAGAGTTTGTGTCGCAATCTCTCCATGCAGCCTGGGAGGTTCGAGGAGGTCGGCGATGCAGCTGCCCAGCAACTGTGGGGAGCCTCTGTGGGCTCGCACGCGTCGAGTTCACAACATGGAGCCTGAGGTCCTCGCTGCCATCACTGGCAACCAAGGAGAGGGGGGCGAGGGCACTTTTGCACATGTGCTTGGGTCCTAGATGAGGCCTTCTCTGTGCTTGGAGACTCCCCGGCGAGCCCGAGGCAGCAAAACTCGTTCGGAGCTCAACCGAGCGAAGTCTCTCATCCTCCATCTCTCGCCGCTGAAGGTCCGTGCAACCCACGGAGGTGTGGGGCTCTAGAGTCTGTGAGAGATTCGAAGAACGAAGGAAGACGACAGAGGGCACGGTCGTGATGAGGCTTCGTCAGAACCCGTGCGGAGACTGGGCTGGAATCTAGGAGTCGGGCGCAAAGTGTAGTGGTCAGAGCAATTGGCTGATTCTTGCAAGCCTAAGTCTAAGCTTTCAAGCTTGTCCTTTCCAAGGGCTGGGTCTCGGACGTTGCGCGGAGCCCAAGATCATGCAACAGAGCTCTTCTACAGGACAGGTTGCTGAATTCCCGGCACGCCCTGCAGCTTTTATTGAGCCTCGAGCATTCGAACTATCACACTCACGATCACCAGGGCACTTCTTTGAAACCTTTGCGGCGCTTTCATACGTTGCAATCCCGTAGCTCAGCACATGACGCGAGAAGCTCGGCCCTTGCTGGTACGGCAGAGGCTTTGGGGCGTAAGCCATGGGTGCCTGAGCCTGACGTTCATGACATGACATTGTGATCCCATCCAGAGGCAAATCTTGCAGGCGTGCAGGTCGGCGATCGTCTGTTTTACAGAATGTCTGTTGGGTTTTTTGCTTGGATTCAGAGCTTGGGTTGTTTTTCCCCATGTTTCCCGGGTTGTGCACTTCCGTCCACGGCCCCAAAATTCCAGACCCATGTCAAAGTCAAAATCTTCGAGCAAAAAGCCGGCAAAGAGCCTGCAAGGATTGAAGAAGCAGGGGGCGTCGCAAGACGATGAGCCCTTCCGCAATCTCGCTACCGAGGTCCCGATTGGGATATTGTCCGTCTGGGGTGCAAATCGCAAGACCCAGCCCTTCGATGTGTTGAGTGGGGGCTTGTGTACTCGAGGACCTTGTAGAGGTTAACGGGTCTCAAGCTTTGAGCGGACCAG